TCGCCGTGGAAACTACGACAGCCTTAATTATGCCCCTATGGATCAAAACGTGCCTTCACAATCGAAATCTGCGCAACCGGCCAGGATTGGAAATAATGGCCTGGGTCTAGGAGAAGTGGTGTCTAGGGCGAGCAAGCGCACTCGAGTGCTAGTTACAAAGGCCAGAGAAAATGTATCTCCGCCCACTGACAATACGTCGAAAGATTTGATATCAGCACATTCTTTTGGGGATGTTTATGGTAGCAAAAAACGATCTAGACGGACCATTGAAATAACATCGGGTTGTACTGAGATGAAATCCTCTGAATCTGAATCTGACGAGACGATAAGCCTACTCAGCCCGAAGTTTGGCGCCTCTTCTAGAATGGTTTCTCGTGAACAATTCATTCCCATTGATTCCTCTCCTCTATTCAATGACTTTGGGCAGAGGTATCACGGGTCGCAAGTGGTCCACGAGGTGGATGACCCGGTGCTTGAGGAGCTTATTAATAGCCTTAATCGTCACAAACCTACATCTTCCACAGATCGTGAAGTTATTACTGGAGAGAATAGATGTAATGATTCCTCAAATAAAAAGGACAAGATCATTGGAAGAGTTACTACAAACTCTCATGTTTCAGATGGATCTAGGAGAAAGGAGCCTCTCACGTCCTTATGCTTCAAACAGGAAATTCTTGGATGTGGAGCACAACTGAAAAGAAAATATTCTGAAACGTTAACATCTGATTTATCTCTCCCCTCGAATAGTTTGGCTGTAAATGCATCATCTGCTGATTTTTATATCCCTCATTCATCTATTTCAACCCTTTCGGCTAAGTTCAATACAGGCAACAGTGCACCAACTCCAATGCTCACACCAGACCTCTTTCCCTCTACTCTTATGCCAGCTGATCCAGTTGATAGTCACGATTCTGATACCTCCATGTGCGACCCAGATTGCCAATCTGTCTGCTGTCTACATTCGACGCCTTCGCGTATTCCGTTGAGTTCACCAAAGATTTCAGCAGGGGCATCAGCAGACCACTTAGTTGAATTGCCTGTTCCTGTTTCCGCTATATCAGGAACTGGTGGACTTGACCTAAGTATTTCGGATATGACTGATTGGTCACTTAGTCGTGATGAGTAAGTATTCATGGTCTAATATCATTATACTGTGGGTATTCAACTCTTTCATATTCCTACCAGTTGACCTTGTATATATATATTTTTTTCTTAGTGGTGCAGTTCAACGTCAAGGTCAAGTGCAACTTGTGACTGTCACAATCGTTAAATTATGCCACCATCCCTTTCATAAATTGGTATTTTATCTTTTATCAGAGTATTTAAAGAAAAGTCCTGATATATAAACCAGGGAGATTTATTAGTGAATTCTATCAAATATAAACTAACTTTTAGTGTACATCCTGAAAATCTGTTTTAGAGAATTTTTCGATAATTTCTTGTCATTGAACCTTTCATTTCATATGATCATTTAGGTAGATGTTTGGTTCATACTACAGTGTAAATTGCCTTGTTTAATTAGGCTATGTACTATATACAAAATTACAAAGAATACTGCTTGATCCCATTCTCATATTCAGATTTATTATACACTTAAGCAAAAACTTGATTTTCTTAGAATTATTTTATTATACATTTGAAGTTTGTATTTTTCTAAATTTTGCACTAGCTCTGCGCCTGAATCTCTAAATAATGCTGAGAATTTTGATCTTCCCCTGCTTCCTTACTACCGTTGCCAAGTATTCGATGTGAAGAGATCCCGGTATGATATTTTGTTTTAAATATATAGTACGTTTTTATGATCCTACCCTTGCGTAATCAGCGCGAGATTCAATTTTGAGGAACCCAATGTAGGGAAGAAAGGAGAAGTAGGAAAGGCAAGATAAGGAATCCGTCAGCAAGTCTGCGAGGAGCAATAGACAGAGAAACTATAATTTAGTACAGCTTCGCTTATATTGTATACACTAACCCTATGCACTTTTCTAACCGTACATGAAGATGGACACAAACGAATACTTTGATCTTTATTTACTCCAGTTATGATAATTTTTCCATTTAGAAAGAACCATCTGCCTTTGTCAGGCACTCTAAAATAGTGCTTATTTTCTAAGATTATTATTAGACATCTTAGTTCGCTTTTATAATAAACTCGTCAGGCTTTTCGGTTTCATGGACCTCATTGTATTATACTTTGTTTTGAATATAAATTCTAATAAATCTCAGCACCCTTCAACTCATTATTTCAATCCTCCATCTTCCATTACTTTCAAATCATAGTACTAGACAATAACTTGTTTTGTAACCCACTATACATACTCTTGGTAATACTAAAATCACTAATAATGCTCATGATCGTCACGACGTAGTAAAAATGAGTAAATTTGTGTAGTTTATATTCACAGGCGAATACATTTTTTAGCTCGTGAACCCGCAGTTTTTCCCTCCCTGTCTTATTCGGAGTCGAATATTAGCTTGCGCAATCGCCGCCGATATGCAAAATATTAGGTGGTATAGTTATCAGAGGTGGTCGCATAAATATTTCTCATTGATGTTGTTTATCCATATTGCTCTTTGATCAGTACTTTCGTCGATCTCCTATTATTAATATGTTCGTAACCAAACCATAAACTGCTATTAATTTCCTCATCCACTTGTGATTAAAATGACAATTATTTAAGCGACTATAACTCAAGTCATTCTTCGAAGAAGAAAAAAATCAATTTTTTACCTTTAATAATTTATTATTTGCTATAACTGTCCTTTATTTTTCTCATATTTTTCCGCAAAATCCATAATATACTATATGTGATTTTACACCTCAATAATTTTTCTCCGCTTTATATGGGGCGAATTAAATTCTTAAATAAATACTTCATTCTTAATCAATATCCTCTGTTCAGTTATTCATCTACTTTTCAACTTTCAAAACTTAACTTTAGCAACGAGCTTCAGGCTACTTTCGAATGGCTTGCTAGTACTTTGCAGGCAACTGGGAAATCTCCGAACCTTAAGAAGCCAGTATTCATCAAAGTTACCCTTAGGGATTCTTGGTAAGCACGAATGAACTAAATTTTTACAATCATTAAATTTATTATGACGACGCGTCCAGATGACG